AGCAAGTAGTACCAGCCCTTGGGTAAAACTGAAGGATATGAAAGGGAATATAATAGGTTAGAAAAAGTTTTTTAAAAAAAAGCAAGAAGCCGGGCTCGGTGGCTCAGCCTGTAATCCCGTGCCTTTGGGAAGCTGAGGTGAGTGGATTGCCTGAGCCCGCAGGTTCGAGACCCGCCTGGGCAGTGAGACCTCATCTCTACAATAAATAAAAAAATCAGCCGGGCGTGGTAGTGTATGCCTGTAATTCCAGCTACTTGGAAGGCTTGAGGCGGAAGGATCGCTGGAGCCCAGCAGGTCGAGGCTGCGGTGGCCGGGAGCAGCCACTGCACTCCAGTCTGGGCGACAGAGTGAGACTCCAACTCAAAAAAAAAAAAAAAAAGCAAGAAAGAAAAAAAGGAAAAAACAATCTGTCATCAGAACTAGAACAAGAGACTTAAGCTTTTGCTCCCTCAACACTCTCTTACTTGACACTTTTAATTCTTTACTATTTTAAAATGAAAGACCTTTCCCACACCAGGCTCATTTATTTTTCAGTCTCTTGTAAATAAGTTCTTTGTTTAAAACGACACAACTGTCATGATTCCTACTACTACCATCCCAGTTGCTGTGCTGTCTTAATATCATTCAGTGAAGCTTCTACCCTTAAGCTCCAGCCTCAAGAGATAACTTTAATAGTAGCTCTAAGGTAATGTGAGTTATAAAGGAAGTTGAGTATTAATTATAACACTTGCCATTAAAAAAAAAAATCTTGGTGGCGTGTGTAATTTTACCTCATTTTATCATTTGCTACTGTTATTTAAATCACTTCCCAGCACTAAGCTTGTATATAAAAGATGATTGTTCCAAACTTAACCTTTTAAATTCAATGTATTCTATTAATTAAGCCATTGCAGTTCTCTGTCTTTTCTATTATGTTTATTCATTTATTGTACTAAAGATAGACACCTGTGTCAGTGAATATTTTGGAGGAAGACCTTTAATTTTTATGCCTATCACCCATTTGGATTTCCTACACTTTAAAAAAATAGTTTATATTAGTGTTCTGGAGAATTTCAAGTTGTCAATTAAAATACTGATAAGTATAAAGAATAATAGACATTATTCAGCCAGAGAGTTAAGAAGGCACCTTGTTAAACCTAATATTGCTGGGGAATTTGCAAGTACTTAAATTAACTTAGATTTTTTAAAAGACAAAAACAAAACAATAAAAACCCTACCTTTGTGTGACTGCCTTTTTTCTGAACAACAACCCATAATATGACCATATAGTCAACTGTATTTACTTTGCCTTTCCCCTTCTATAAGATGAACTAGGAGCCAGGTAAACTTAGCAGTGATAACCACTGATGGTGTGGAATAAGACATGAGATACCAAAATATAGAAGTACCTAGCACCCATCAGAAGCATGGTATGCACTCAGTGATTTTCTCCCACTGTTTCTTTATAATCCTGAGCAAGCTATATCATAAATACCACAACCATCATCAAGCTCACCACCTTCACCACTCTCATAGCTTCCACTTATCAAAAGTTTTCATTTAGTGAGAATTGTGTATTTGGAACCACTCAAAGTGCTTTTGTACTTTTATTTTGTGTAGTTCCCACAACTCCCTGTGTACTGTTTTTGTCCAGATTTTTCTTTTCTTTTCTTTTTTTTGAATCAGAGTCTCACTCTGTTGCCTGGACTGGGAGTTCAGTGGCATGCTCATGGCCCTTGCATCCTTGACCTGCTGGTCTCAGACGATCCTTCTGCCTCAGCCTCCAAGTAGTTGGCACATGCTACCATGCCTGGATTTTTTACAAATTTATTGTAGAGACAAGGTCTCACCAAGTTGCCCAGGCTGGTCTTGAACCCCTAAACTCAGGCAATCCTCTCGCCTCAGCTTCCCAAATTGCTGGGATGACAGGTTTCAGCTACCACACCCAGGCTAGATTTTTCATATGGGGAATCTACTTTTTTTTGGTTTTTTTTTTTTTCAGAAAGAGAGATTTATTGAGAAGACAGACAAGCTTCCACAGTGGAAGGGGACCTGAGGGGGTTGCCCGGAAACTAAGATTAAAAAGAGTTCAGTGACTTGCCTGGTAATGTGGCATTCGACCCACACATATCTTCTCATTCTCTGTTATGTCATTCTGTCTTCCTATTTTGTTTTTCACTAATGATGATGATAAAAGCTCATATTTATGAAATACTTATTATATGATCTAAGTACTTTGCATGAACTGATGCGTGTAATCACCACCATAGACCTATTAGGTAAGTAGTATTATCCTCATATTTGATGAGATGGAAGCACAGAAAGTTAAAGTAACTTGCACAGAACTATTGTTTCCAAGCAAGAGTTCTAATCAGAAAGATGATTTCCTGAAATTTGTGAGTTAGGAATTAATATTTTAGCTTGAGCCCATTAGAACTGTCAATTTCCAAAGTGTTAAACAAAATTAAAGCTACCACTTGTTAATATTGGTTACCACAGAGCAATTTCTATTAATATTATATATTTCAATAAAAAGATAATAATGTTCTGGCATACAGGTATTTGAGTGTTTCCTGTATTTCTTATATGATCAAGAATGCTACTGGTCATTCTTCAAAGTTCCCAGGTGGAAATTCTTCTATGATCCTTGTCACAAGTGTAAGGGAGTGGTTAGGAGTGCTGTGTCTAAGACTCCGGTTCCCCCACTTACGAGGTGTGTGTCAGCCTCTTTGTCTATAACATAAGGATAGTAATCATAATAACTATCTTTCCGGGTCATTTTAAGGATTAAATGAATTAACAGATCCAAAGTGCATACCATAGAACCTGCATGTTACACGTGCTCAATAAATACTAGATGCTGTTGTTATTTTTAATCATTATCATTTTTTCCAATATTTTTCTAGTTATTCTGTGGATTGATTCTATTGTATATGTTTTTAGGCTGGAGAAAGACAGAATTTGGCTCACAATCGGTGCCTGATAAATACTATCTGACTTAACTTCCAACTTCTGAAGTAACACAAAAAGCCTAACAAGATTTTTAAGCAATTGAGAACACGATAATCACAGGCATGTAGTGATGTTATCTAGAAAATAAAGAAATCACTTAGGAAAGGAGGGCCAGGTGGAAGTGGGAAGATTACATATAGTAACTAGGTCAGCTAAATATGGCTGAGTGTTGTGGGCAGAGGAAAGAGGGACTTTTTACTCCGAGACCAATCCAGCGTTAGGAAAAATGGAAACAATCCTTCTTGTTCACAGATGTCCCTTATTGCTTCAACCCTTAAGTTCAGAGCTTTACAGACTAGCCTAGACAGTAGCACATAGTAATGAACAGCTTTTGTTTAATATTAAAATGCTAGTCTATGCAGAGATGCTTCTGGATTAAGATCTTTGCATCTATGTTCTTGAAGAGTATTGGCTAGTAGTTTCCATTTAATGTCTTTTCCTGATATTAGTCTTGGGGTAACACTAGCTTCATGATGGGTTGGGAAGTGCTCCCTCCTCTAAATTTTCTGGCAGAGCTTTTGTAGAATTGGGTTCAATTTTCCTGAATTGTTAGTAGAATTCACCAGTGAAGTCAGTTGGGCCTACAGTTTTCTCAGTAGGAAATTTTTCCTTATTTTTGTATAAGATGGGGTCTCATTCCGTCACCTAGGCTTGAGGGTAGTGACATGATCACAGCTCACTACAACCTCAAACTCCTGGGCTTAAACAATCCTCCAACTTCAGCCTTATGAGTAGCTGGAACTACAGGTGTGTGCCACCATGCCCATCTAATTTCTTAAAAATATTTTTGTAGGGACAAAGTCTCACTATATTGTCCAGGCTGTTCTCAAACTCCTAGGCTCAAGTTATCTCCTCACCTCAACCTCCCAAAGTGCTGGGACTACAGGATGAACCACTGCATCGGGCCCAATCTCATTTAAAAAAAAAATTACTGTAGGGCTATTTATATTATCCATTTCTTTCTATATAATCTCTGATAATGTATGCTTTCAAAAATGCGTCCATTTTATCAGAGCTGTGTTCACTTTTGGTTAATGTTACCTCACTGTTGAGGCAAGACACTTGTTCATATGCTAACTAACAGATGCCTGTGAACAATAAGGTTTTCCACTCCGGCTGTTGGAAATAGGCTCCGGGTGGACTTCAGAAGCTCTCCCCTTTCCACTTGTGGGTGGTTCTTTGCCAGGTCTTGGGTAATCTCACACACATGTGGTCATCAGTATTCAACATGAGGGGATTCTCTGACAATATCAGAAAGAATCCTGTTTCACTCTCTGCTCTCTGGGGTCTCTGCCTTGCAACCTTTGTCCACTTTGACTTCCTGGGACACCCAGTGCCATGTCCTCAAGCTGGGACATCACTGGGTTCCACCTGGGCATCGCACTTTCTGTGTAGCAGCCCCGAAGCTTTCTCCAGACAGTAGGCTGGGGCATGTGCAGGGTTCACCACATTTGTTTTCTGTCTCCTAGGGGCCACTCTACTTTGTTGCCTGATAGCTAATCTATTGAATGCCATTGTTTCATGTTTCACCTAGTTTTTAATGCTATTTCACAATCTCTTCCCTTTCAAATCCTTTGATGAGATACAGAAATCTAATCCTTAAGTATTGGATACATACACACACACACACACACACACACACACACACACGCATTGTTGTTGTGCTCAAAGAGTTTTATTACATATTATACATCTTTAGGCCCATGAATTTAGTTTCTCCTCTAGTAGACATGGAAGCCACAATCTAGTTTAAATAACTGAAAATATTGAAAATTAAAAAGAAAAAAGTTATATTCATAAAAGATCTAAGAAGCATATATTTCTTCATAGTGGTCTTTGAAATGTCTTCAAAAAAAATGAAGAATTCCAGGGGAAATTGAGAGAAAAAAATTTCTTAAATCCTTGCCAGTAAAAGATTTAACTTATTATGAATCTATATTAATTTATTGTTCAAGATCTGTCTGATTTACAAGCAGGTCTGATCTTTGTGTTTTATTTCTTCTCCTCAGTGCCAGATGAAAGCAAAGTTCATGCACTGGCTGAACACAAAGCGGGTAAGAAATTCCTCGTCACTGCCTTTCTGTCTACTTCCTGGAAATCACTGTGTCTTAGCAGCAGTTGGAACCTGTTTCTGTCCACTAGTCACTGAAAGGCTTTCTAATTAATACATGCGATGGGTCTGACGTCCACGACGATGAATTATTGCTTGGCTATGTATATAGTGGCATAATGTATGCTGACTCAGAATGTTTAAGAGGAAAGAATGAAGGTTTCCAAAAAAGTAATTATAGAACCCCAAATCTTAAACCTGTACTCCAACTTAAACACTTTAAAAAAATGTAAGGAAAATCCAAAAAAGTTAAAAATTCTTTCCCTTGATGACCTTCATGTTGAAGGGACAGGACAAGGGATTCCAGGGTAAGAAAGATGTGGTTATTTCTTCTTCTCCAGAAGAGAATAGTTTATTTGCCTGTTATCAAAAGGAATTGTATCAGAGATGACTATCACTTTTCCTGAGCCTCATAAATGGTCTCCCTGGATGTTCTCTAAGAAGTCCATGGGGATTCCAAGGGTCTCCATGGTCTTTCTCCATCATGCGTGAAGTGCCTTCACCCCTGAAATCCAAGCTGTTTGTTCTCTGCCACGTAACCAGCCTTCTCCTTCCTTTGCCCCTCTTCCTCATCCTTTATCCACATTAGCAGAAAACATTTAATGCTACCACACTAGTAAATACTGCAGTAAGCCCTTTCCTCTAGTGGTACATTATTTTGGGCGGGGGGAAATAGCCATTTTACTCTTAGAATTGCTACTCCACATAACAGAAGGGTTACGATTTTCTGGCACCCACTCCGTCGTGAAACAAAGAAGTCTTTCCCGTCCCAAAGCGTTTCTTGTGTTTGTGTGCCAATTACATCTTCAGCAGGGAGGGCTAGATGGCTCATTACCCCCATCATGTTCCAGGACAAGATTATGATTTTATTATTTTCTTCCTTCTCCAGATTCTCTAGCAATAACAGCAGGGAAGGGCTGGTTCCCAGCTCTTAGATTTATTTTTCCTGTTCCTCCTAATAAAAAGTCTGAGAAGTTAGTCACTGTGAGAGAAAAGATTTCCAAGGAAGTGACAAATTCCACAAATTCTCTGCTCCTGGACATGTTTTTAGGAGCCGAGAAGGAAGTTCTTAAGACCACGGAACCCCAAGGACAGTCTGTGTTTTTACCTTAGAGGTGTGGTACCACTTGGAGTTCCCATACACCTACTAACTGAGAATTGAAGCCTTTTTTATGTACTGGGATAGGCCTCAAGGCAAAAAGTTGAAGTGCTTTGAAAGAATGTTTATCAGTTTGGTTTATGAAAATGGGCAAATAATAAGTTTTTTGACTTTTTCTAGGAAATCAAATCTTACTCTAATTGTAATCAATTTTCAAACAAATTACTGTTACTGGTAATTAAGAGTTACTGTCACTCTTTTTGAATGAGAACATTATCATCTTAGTATAGTGCTGTAAATTTGAATGACCTAGTTTTTTTATAATATGATTTAAAATTTTAATAAAGAATTACTCTAAGTACTAAACTTGAAATTAAAACTTTCCAAAATTTAAAAAAAGAAAAGTTCAAAATGGTGGGATTTAAAAACTGACAGGTAGGCGAATTGTAAACTCCACATGGTAACCTCACTTTAGCTGGTAGAAACAGTTCTAACTATTTTACAGTTCCAAAATTTAAAAAATTTTTCTTTTGGAGAATTTATATCACAAAAGCCACACTGTTTAAATACAAATTCTGACCGTTTAGTTTGCGAAAATGTTTAGAAAAAGTGCTGCCTACCTCATTACTAAATATCACGACAGTCACCTTTGGAGTTTTCCCCTTGAGAAGCTATGCACTGAAGCCAGCACCTAGTCCACCCATCAAAGCAATTTTGGAAATCTTTTTCTGAATGACCCTCAGAGCTGTTGTCATGAAAATGTCAGAGTTTAAACTAGAACAACAAACATTAAATTTCTTGTTGAAGTTGGCAAGAGTGGAAGTGAAACCAGGCATGTGTTAGTCCAAGTTTATGGGGATAATGCCATAAAGAAAGTGGCAGTGTATAAGCCGGGCTCGGTGGCTCAGCCTGTAATCCTGCGCCCTTGGGAGGCTGAGGTGAGTGCATTGCCTGAGCCCGCGGGTTCGAGACCCGCCTGGGCAGCGAGACCTCATCTCTACAATAAATCAAAAAATCAGCCGGGCGTGGTAGCGCTTGCCTGTAATTCTGGCTACTCAGAAGACTGAGGCAGAAGGAACACCGGAGCCCAGCAGGTCGAGGCTGCGGTGGCCGGGAGCGGCCACTGCACTCCAGTCTGGGCAACAGAGTGAGACTCCAACTCAAAAACAAAAACAAAACAAAACAAACAAACAACAACAAAAAAGAAAGTGGCAGTGTATAAATGGATTAAATGTTTTTAACTGAAAATCTTATCATGAGAAAAATGTGTGAAAAATGGTCCCAAAGGAGCTCTTGCATCACGACGATGCACCAGCTCACACAGCACTGCCTGTGAGGGACTTTTTAGCCAGTAAGCAAATAACTGTATTGGAAAACCCTCCCTATTCACCTGATCTGACCCCCAAATACTTTTTTCTTTACCTGAAGATAAAGAAAATGCTGAAAGGAAGATATTTAGAAGACATTCAGGACATCAAGGGTAATACAACAACAGCTCTGATTGCCATTCCAGAAAGAGATCCAAAATTGTTTTGATGGGCAGACTAGGCACTGTATGGGTGCATACCTTCCCAAGGCGGGGAGTACTTCGGTGGTGACCATAGTGATGTTCAACAATGAGGTATATAGCACTTTTTCTAGGATGAGTCGTGAACTTAATTGTCAGACCTTATGTATCTAATTTAAATAATATTTCTACTACGAATGGGCTGTCATTCCAACATTCACTAGTCTTATAACCTGTCATGACATCATCGAGTTTTTTACTGGGCATTTGTAGAAATGCTAAAAATCAACCAGAAACTTGGGACCCTTGGAGCAAAAGTGGTATGCAGTGAAAAGGGCTCCCCAGTCCTTGAAATTATACTCTAGAGTTACATTTAGTGACAGCATCCTGCAAAACATTACAGGCAGTTCTGAGACAGCATGGAACAATATTAAAATTAAATAGGCAGCTAAGGTTATATATTTATATACCCTCTCCTAATTTTAATTTTTTTTTTCTTTTGGGAAATTTTCCTTGGACTATAATGATCCTCAGCAACTCATCCCTTAATAAAACAGAGCTCCTATGTGTGGTGCATTTATGGGGAGGAATTTCTCATTGGCCTTTGCTTTGGTTGCTGGTTGTGGTGGTAGCAGTGGCAATAGCTTTAGAGGTTGTCCTGATTTTGACAACCTCTTTCAGTTGCAAAATTATTTATTTTATTTTATTTTATCTTATTTTTTTTGATTCGGAGTCTCACTCTATCACCCAGGCTGAAGTGCAGTAGCATGCTCACAACCATCCCAGAGTCGGCCTGCTGGGCTTAGCCCATCCTTCCACCTCAGCCTTCCAAGTAGCCTGAACTACAGGCATGCGTTACCATGCCTGGCTAATTTTTTGATTTACTGTAGAGATGAGGTCTTGTCACGTTGCCCAGGCTAATCTCGAACCCGTGGGCTCAGGCAGTCCTCTTACCTTGGCCTCCCAAAGTGCTGGGATTACAGGTTTGAGCCACTGCGCCCAGCCACAAAATTATTTTATAAATTCACCTAATAGATGGCTATTATCTCAGCCAGCTACAGGCAGTCGGTGGCAACTAAGCAAAGCACCAGGTTGTACTTTAACTTATAAAATTCTATGATCATATTTGTCTTTCCAATGTTGGAAGGGATCACTCAACTTTTTGTTGCACTATTCTTTCTCCTTTCCCAAATCCTTTCTTCAGTGTATTTAGATACAAATGGGATTTCTTTTTTCCTGTGAAGAAATAGTGTCTCTCTTTCTCTTTAATTACATAAATGTAGGCAGTTTTCACACTATCCAAGACCAACAGGAAGTAAAACAAATTAAATTATATGGGCCGACCTAAATCTATCATCCATCCTCTTATTCGAGGTGATATTCAATATTTTAATAGATTCATCTAAGTTAAAATTTCTTCTGAGTCAGCTACCTAGAGCGTAAAGAGTCATTTCGTGCCAAGTTCCATCTGTTGGTCTGACTTGGGTACCTCCCAAATTTGTGACAATATTTTTGGCACCCTTTCCTTGGCCTAATCTTTAAATGGTTGATTCCTCAGAGCTCAGATCAAATTAAAAGCCCAGGTATGATAATTTTTTCTAATACTTTTGGCCCAAAGCATAGTGTTCCCCTCATCCCTTCTGGAATCAATCCAGTAGTCCTGAGCTTTCTCTAATAACATGCATCAGGGGCTTCTCCAGACAGTGAATTGCATCTCATTACCTTGGCAAGGAGGACAGCAGAATGCATCTCCTGCATTTGATCTGGTGGGTCCTCCTTCACATACAGGAGGCAGAGATGTCCTCCAGAGAAGTTCAAAATAAGATGCCTTTTGTTTGTTTGTTTTTTTAAGAAAAATCATAAGTTTTGGAGAGTCTTGAGAAACCAAAAGTGCCTTTAATCACTTTTTTGTCTCACTAATTGAATTCTGACAAAATTCAAATTCTAGCAATGCAGAATGAAAAAAAAAAACCCCAGAAAGATGTATATTTTAAGTAATGAAGCCATTTTTTAAATGACTTAAGTATTCTGAGAGAACAGTAGACTCCAGAGAGAATGACATCAAATTTGGTATACGTTTTTTTTTTTTCATTATGCTTTACCTTGGGTTATGCTCAGGATCATAGTGTATGTCTGAGAAGAAATCCTTTCTTATATTTTTTTTCTCTATATGCTAAACTGACACCTAAACCAATGTTTAATGTTCTTCTACATTCGAACAGAAAAGATTTATAAATTTTACTTTTTTTAGTGTCTTCTTTTTATTATTTAATTTTTTTTGTTTTGATTTATTGCTTGGAACTGTTTTAATATGTATTGACTGTCTGCAGAGAGCTTT